TGCTCACATCCAGGGCGCTGCATGGTCCTGCCCTGCTGTCCCAGACCCCCCGCCAGGCTCTTCCACAGGCCTCTCCATCCTCCCACATGGCCTTTCATCTCCGGGTGGTTATGTGCGCCATCACTGACAACTCCCTCTGCATCTCATACACACTGGGCTGCTCCCCTACTAAACTTTTCCAAAGCCACCTGTTACACATTCCTTTTCTCTGCCATGCTCCCAGCTGTTTGTGCTGTTTTGATCTGTCTGTTTGCGTAGCACTGTCAGACTCTATGCATGAATGGTGTGTTGTCAATATGAACGGTTTTGAAAATGTTCCTGTAAAGAGCCTACCTCGTCGGTGATCAGTGGGGAAAGGGAAGCTTTGGGTCAGCCTCAAAAGCGGAGGTCAGGGACTCCTGCTTGAACCTTTGCAGGAGGGGGACTCATGCACACTGACGAAGAAAAGAACCCTATTAAAATGTGATCACGATCCCTTCTAAGATGAAGAATGCAGGAATATCTTCTTAAAAAATAAATAAGGTACAGTCAGTGATGACATTTAAAAGTGGGATCCTACAATAGAACAAAAGAATCAAAATTACAAATGTACTTAAGACAAAGGTGCTTCCACACAGAAGTATCTTCCAGGACATAGAATCTGTGGCTTGTTCTGGTTCACCAAGTGCTAGTGTAGGAAGACACCCAACCAGAATTGGGCATACTTGAGAAGGGCACTGGGCCGTCCCCCTCACAGGTTTCTAGAAGGCTGGATGGGATCTGTGCCCCTTGTGCTACCCATCCAGTTGACCTGATCTGACGCTCTTAGATGGAGGCTAAGTTCAGAATTACACTTTCATTTAACAAGACCCACAGCAGCTCAGCTGGACAACAGTAGCCAAGCATATATAGGACCAGAAAGAGGAAGACAAACTCAGAAGACAGAGAGCGCTTTTGTGATAGGAAAGAACTTAGGCCAACAATTCCTGGCCGTAGATGTTTGATGCTGATTATCTCTCCTTTTTCAACTGCTTCTTCAAAGGATGAATTTGGTATTTCAGATTGGAGGGAAGACCATTTTGCTTCTGGTTTCTTCTCTGGTCTTTCCCACCAACTTTTCTATATTTGACTGGAGACATTGTAAAGACAGGTCTCGAGAGCATGTGTATTATTTATTTGCTGTTCACATTCTAGCTTGGGTTAACATCCATGGGTAAGATGTACATTTTTTTGGATTTTTTTCTTTAATCCTCTGACAAAGATTGGTCGCAGCTTTGCACGCATTCCTTATGTTATCCAGGTATCTTTGCCAACCTTTCGCATGCTATCTTTGGCCAGTGTTTCCCCTTGAAAGATAACTAAAAAATATATATTTTTTGTTTGTTTGATATCTGACGTAAAGTTGGTACAACCAAGATTGGCTTTATCAGCTCAACCATTTTTGGATGACTTGATCTTGCTGATTCACAGACACTTCCCTGTGAAACCAGAGATTGTTTCAAGACATCAATTTATTTTGGATTTCTTTTTTTAACTTAACTAATCAAAACGTTATTTCATGAACATCATTGGCTGGACTAGTACCCAAGGGAAACTTTCATATTGACATTTTCCACTTAGGAACAAGAAATCTTTTTTTTCTCCCCTGAAAAAGTAAGTATTCCATAGGCAAGCAACTAAGACCATATACCCTTAAATCCTTGCAATCCTGGTTTTCTTTAATAAAGTTGTTCAGTACAGTCAAAAAAATTTTTTTAATAAAAATAAATGAAATAAACATTCTAAATTCCTTCCTGGCCCTTCTCAGCATTCAGGTTCTGGAGTTTAGACTCTTGTCTACACTGCACTTTGCCTCTACAGTCTCAAATTCTAGTGTTTTCTATCCAAATAGCCTTAAGACTCCATTTAAATCCTATTGGATTCTTTTTGCAGCTGAAATAGGACACCCAAGGTCATTTCTCAACTAACCCTACTGCCTCATATGTGAGAATGTCCTCATCACACTCCCCACTCCCAATTATTTTTAAACTCACTCTTCAAAGTAAAAAAAAAAAAAAAAAAACTGTAATAGAGCCATAGAAGTAGAAATGCTAGAACTTGCCTTTTGCTTTTTTTGAATCTTTCATAGGAATGGCATTTTTAAACATGAGCTTATGTCGGACATTGAACAGTCTACACATGAGAGTGAATGTTTTGATTAAAAACTACTTAATATCTCTACTTCCTTGGGATTCTGCCGAAAGCTAGAGATATCCTTAGCTGCAGGTCCTGTGCCTTCTTATGACTAGGTTAGGAAAAAACCCTCAAAATCTAGAGAGAATAAATGGCATTCTCAGAATAGTTACTTGATTCTATACATGTTTATATCACAGAAAAGACTGATGTGTTGAGAATTAGGAATTAGGAAAGAATATGGGTGAAGGAAAGTGCGTCCGACCAGCGTCTTCCGACAGCTCTCTCTCACTGCATCCATTAATTATTTTAGTTAAAATGGGATTTAGGGTACTAGTCACATGCCAGACATAAGAATAGAATTCTGTATAATCTGAACATAATTTTTTCTTAACTTGCATTTGTGTCTAGATCAACAAAGGGTACACAAAAGCCATTTAAGCAAATCAGTCCTTGTTGAAATGTCTTTTGATCACAAAATAGGATGTTATTTTTTAACTGCTTCCAATGGAAAAGAGTGGGGACAGATTCTCATACCACCTCAATGTGAATATAAGAGGAAAAGAAGAACTTAATTCTAAGATACAAGTAGAATTTTGATTCAGCAAGTTATTTTATCTTCAGAGGTAGCATTGCTCTCAATATTGCCACTTTTCTTTAAATCGTCCTTTCGAGGCAAAATATTTACAGAACATTGAATTATTTTTCTGGCTTTCCAACGGCACTTCCTGCTTTTAGATATTGATGTGACATAGTTAGAAGTTGGGCCCTCTGGACCTGTGCTGTGGGATGGCACTGTGCTACGAGCATCACAGGATTCCATTTTTTCCAGCCCCCAAGGTCCTGTCTGTACTTGTTTACAGGTCATCTAGATAGTAACTAGTATGTGTTCAACGGCGTGAGTGTTATCACGGTAACCTTGGCAACCAAGCTAGCTCCGATTTCAGAAGCCTCACATGCTGTATCATAAAATTAGAGAACAGAATTGACATTTAGCTACATGTCTGTCATATAAATTAAGCTCTGAGAATGATTTCTTTAGAGCCATGTGCCTTAATATGGAAATCGAAGGCACCAATTAGAACAATTTTATACATATACTTCTTACAACACATTTTAGTGCTGGATGTCTTTCCTCAATTCTTTCTTTATGATACTGAAGCTCAGACATTGTCATACTATTCTCACCGTGCCAAAATTCATGGTGACTTTATTTTATGATCAGAACGAAGCTTATCGTAGAGCTTCATCAGATACCTGATATAAATAGGACTATGAATAATAGAAAACTCAGCCTTTAAAAAATGTAAAATTCAAAGCATTCCTAGCTTTACTGAACATTATTTTTAATGCTGATTGGAAGTAAGACTGAGCGCAGAATATTCCACTAAGTAAATCAGAATCCCAATAAGACATACTTCCCTTTCATTTATATATTTATACCTATTTTTACTCATATTATTCCAGCATCCAAAAAGCCTTGATAATACCTTAATTTCAAGGAGATACTAAATATTTAGATTAATACATTCATGACTGAAAGTCCTAGGTCCTCTTGTGTAATTTGGAAATGTTTTCATCTCAGGATTTTCCCCTCTATTTGTTACAGTCTGCTGCCGATTTTCTTGGATATAAATTTAAAGACTCAGCTTGTGAATTACTAATGTAAGCACCCTGCAGTTTTCTGCATTGCAAATGATTATTTTTAGACATTTTATAGTTGCCTGCATATATCTGTTTTGTCTTCATTGATATGTAGGAGGGAAAGCTCATTAATGATTTAAAAAGAAGGTGTTTTGATTCATTGATTTTATTCTTCTCATTCCATAAACAATCAAGGCAATAAATTAGCATGTAATAAAATTGTAAGAGTTTATTTCCGAATGTAGCTGCAAGATGGTCTTGAATACTTTGGCGTAACTTTTCCTGCTCTTTATATCCTTCTGCCTCAATGTTTTGAAAGTCATTATTGAGCGTATTTTAACCTAGAACAAAGATTTATAATTCCATTAAAGATAAGCAGCTGTCCATCAAACACCGTAATTGAAAAGCTGTTTTGTGAAACAATTCTTTGACTTCTAGAATGGTGATTTATTATGTAAAAATAGAAGACTTGATGTCAAGAGTTTTCTTTTCCCTATATCCCTGCTGTGTGTCATTATAACATTTAAGAAATCTGCTTCCAACATTTTGGCATTTTATTAACCATCTCTCTAGTTCTTGCCTAGTTATATATTAAATCCTACCTTCTTGCCTTACCTAGTAAAGAGTCAAAATCCCTGCAAATTCAGGATTTTTCTTTCGGCAACAGATAAGTGGTTGTGCTCTCTACATGTTTGCATAAGTGGGAAGAAGGCCAGGACTCCTTCTGTGTATTTGCTGACCCCACACAGCAAATACTCGTTACATTTTCAGTAATGTTCGGACTGTTTGCTTTCTCTCATTGGGATGAGTCATCGTCACCTTTATGTTGTTTAAACTGGTAAAGGGTAGTTTTTATTATTTTCTTTTATCTTGAAACTATTTCTTGTGATGAACAGAAATAGTTCAGCATGTTGTGGCTCCAGGACTGAGTCAAGTTTGGGTAACCATCCCTGCCATACGATAACTTCATTGGAAGAGTTTCAGTGCATAAGCATTCTGCAGTGCGATATGGACATGAACCCGTGGTGCTGGAATGTGGGGGCTTATCCGGCTGTTTGCATGACTCCAAGATGTGTTTCAATAGCTGGGTTTTTTTTTTTAATTGTGACATGATATGACATTAGGTGGGTAGGAGTCGGGAGGAACCAGAATGGTAGAAAAATAATTAAAAGCCAACACAAGCTTCTTTTGTGATTTTCTTTTAGGTCGGATGTTGTGGTCCTCTGTTTTTCCATCGCTAACCCCAACTCTCTAAACCATGTGAAAACCATGTGGTATCAAGAAATCAAGCATTTTTGCCCTCGAACACCCGTGGTACTCGTTGGCTGCCAGCTCGATCTCCGCTATGCCGATCTGGAAGCTGTCAATCGAGCCAGGCGCCCGCTAGCAAGGTGAGGCAAGGTTCTCAGAGTTTTCCCTGCACAGGTCAAATTGAAATTTAGAGGTAGCAGGTGTCTTTGTCGCCTGGCACTCTGCACTTTAGTACTTCTGGGATCCCTCGTACCAGCCACGGGCCGTAAGTCAGCCAACAAATCATCAGGGGCACGTCCTGACCCCTCCTCACAGGCGTCACTATCATCTCTGATGTCAGAAATCATTTTTATAAAACTTTAGCCAGCATTTGAAGTAAATTCTCTAATTAGGAAATGATGTCTATAAAAGTGCTTTGAAATTTGTCAAGGATTAGACAGTATGTTGACTTCCCACACCATAATAATGTTACCTTTGAAATTATGATTATTGTATATAATAAAGTTAATTAACATCAGGGGCTCTTGACCCCAGGGAACATCATATTAGTGAAAATGCTCATTCATGTCTAAGGATTTCAGGTCCTCCTCATATTTCTCAGTCTAAATCCTAGGAGAGTTTTACTCCCAAGAGTACAGTGTCCTCGTCTTAAAAATCATTTGGACCTATGGTTGCAAAACAAACAGAGACCGCTTTTAAAATGCCTGTAGTAGTTATATTTCTAAAGAGTGCCAAATTTAAAATACAACTTGAAGAAGAACTTGTTTCACTATATAAAATCCAGACCAGATACCAAATTGGGGAAAAATAAGAGTTTTTAAAAACATGTGCTAAGAAAGAAAGAAAGAAAGAAAGAAAGAAAGAAAGAAAGAAAGAAAGAAAGAAAGAAAGAAAGAAAGAAAGAAAGAAAGAAAGAAAGAAAGAAAGA